ACATTATTATAAATTTCACCAAATATGTTTCAAATATTTGTAGAATTCATAAAAGGGTTGATAAATAATTTCAAATAATTATTAGCATGTCCATATTAAGACATGACAAGACTAAATGGGCTATTAATGGACCTTTTTTGGGTAACCATAATTTAACATATTTTCAATAAACCATTTTATTCGAGGAGAGATAGAATCAATATTTACTCATGCAACAGCTGCTATGAAGCATAACAAATTAAGGCACATAAGCACTTTATCACGATGACCCAATAATGAACGGCACACTTTTGGAATAATGTTTGGTAAAAAATTATTGATTCGGAATCATTCGGTCCAATCACGGTTGTCGTTTCTATAGTCGTCATCGACTTTATGCGCAAGTCACCCTCTCCGTCGCTTCGATTCAAAAATGGTATAACGGTAAGGCATGGAAGCGACATCGACAGTTTAAAATAAAAGTTGGCAACTATTAAAAAAACGTTGGCAACACTCCCTTGTTATTGACAAAGAGGATAAAAATTTGTTTGTATTTTGAGTTCTAATTTGGTTTCTTTCGGAAAAATAAAAAATATTGTCAAACCAGTAAAGAAAGTCTTAAAGTCCGGTGGGGCCGACTTATCGACTTCACATAACAATTAAAAGTTTTTATGGGAGAATTCAATCATACACGCTATGATTACGATTATAATTTAAAGTTCAAATTCCGACTAGTATTGCCCATTTGGTGCACAATTAATTCGAAATCGAAAAGATATATATGGGAGCTATATCTAAATCGGAACCGATCTCGATAAAATTCGGCAAAGATATTTCTGAGCTGTATTTGATATATTTCCCTGAATATCGTTATTACGGAGTGCATATTACGGCTGTGGGTAACAAATATGACAAATCGGATGAACAGTATATATGGGAGCTATAGCTATATCGGAACCGATCTTCACCATTCAATTTGACATACTAGCTTCTAGAGTCAATTCGGTCGAAAGTGCCAAATTTCATCCAATTTGGGCAAATATTAGAGGTTTGGTGCACAATCAAAAGTAAATCGGACGAAGTTATATATGGGAGCTATATCCAAATCTGAACCGATCTCGATAAACTTTAGCAAATGTGTTTCTGGGCTGTATTTGATATATTTCCCCAAATATTGTTGTTACAGAGTGCATATTACGGCTCCGGAGGACAAAAATAACAAATCGGATGAACAATATATATGGGAACTATAGCTATATCTAAACCGATTTCGATCAAAATTGGCATACTTCTTTTCAGGCCTAATTTGTTTGAATGTGCAAAATTCCATACTATTCGGGCTGATATTACACGTTTGGTGCACAATAAAAGGCAAATCGGACGAAGATATATATGGGAGCTATATCTAAATTTTTACCGATTATCTCCAATTTCAATAGGGTTCGTCCTTGGTCCAAACAAATGATTTGTGCAAAATTTCATGTGGATCGGGTAATAAATGCGAACTGTACTTTGTTTACAAAAATACATGGACAGACGGACGGACGGACATGCATAAATCGACTCAGAATGTGATTCTATGCAGATCATCAAAAGGAACTATGGGTCTATCTCGTTTCCTGTTGCCTGTTACAAACAAATTCACAAAGACATAATACCCTGACCACATTGTGGTGTAGGGTATAAAAATGCCACCTCCAGTGCTGCTGGCTTCACCCTTATTGCGCACAAGTCTGAATTATTTTCAATTAAATTTTTCTAAACCTAGAAGAATTTTAGAGAGCTAAATAACAAAAAATTTGTCGCTATCGACAGAAAACGACAAACATAATATCATTATTGTCGGCTCAACTTCATTTTGCGACGCTGACGACAACTGTAATAGGGCCGATCAATGTTGTCTATTCAAGTATAGGCCTACCCTGCCGATTAATTTAAACACATGAATTAAATAATTCCAAAAGACTTTATTAATGTCGTCATAAATTATCTTAAAATTTGACCACACACTAAATTAATCCTTTCTTGACTTTGTTTGTTTCTTTTTTTCAATTTTCTATTTCATTTTGAACTATTGCCCCATTTGTAATAGAATTTCTTGGGAAAATGACTAGACATTTATTCCAACAGCGACATAATTTATTAAAAAAAGCAAAGCAAATGTTGTAAAGAAATCCTGCAAAAAGGAAAAGGGAGAATAGAAGTCATGACCTTAACACATTTCCATATAACGTTTGCCATTTTTTCTTTTTGGCTGACCAAAATTGTTGCCGTATAAATAGCCCATAGAGCAAAAGCCAAAAGTTCGGAACCAAAAACAAAATCTATTTGCAATGATTGCCTAATGGTGGACATCATCATCGACAACATTGTTGTCATTATCATCACCATTATTTTGGACAGAGATATGAATGAAAATATAAGGGAAGGGGAGGGGATGAATTGGTAATGGAAGGACTTTAACATTTTTTACACGGAAAAGATTTTGGGGGATTTTTTTATTAACAGGAGATTCTATATAGGATCTTTATACGCTCCAACATAGTGTGGAGTGTATATTATGTTTGTCATTCCGTTTGTAACACGACCACATATACATTTTAGACCCCACAGAGTATATATAATCTTGATCGGCATAAAATTCTATGACGATTTAGCGATGTCCGTCCGCCTGTGGAAGTCACTCTAGCTTCCGAACGAAATGAAGTAGGTTGATAAAATTTTACTTAAATGTATATTGTCCGCAGGACTTTTGGTATTGAAAATGGGTCATGTAAGTCCACATTTTGGTATAGCCTCCATATAACGGTACCTCCCCATATTCGGTATTTTGATGATTTTAGCGACATTATTCACCGGAATTGTTTTAAATTTGGTATTTGAAGTTTTTAATGGATATTACAACCTATGACAGTGCAGGTCCACATCTTCGTATATCCCCCATATAACAGCACTTCCCGATATTCGATATTTTGATGTTTTTTGGCGACATTATTCGCCGATTTTTTTATGACAAAAGTGGCTTATGCAGGTCCACGTCGTCGTATAGACCCGGCAGATTCGGAATTTTTAAGATTTTAACAGAAATTTTATCGATTTTTTTTTTGAAAATTACCAAATTCGTTCCTAATGGTGGAGGGTATTCAAAATTCGGCCTGGCCGAACTTACATCTTTTTCACTTGTTATGTATAAAATAACTGCCTAAAATAAGGTCCTACCATGGCAGAGAAGATAGTCTCAGAAGATCTTCTCAGAGAAGAACAGGTTGTCTTCTTAGAGAAGAGATAAAGGTATTCTTAAAGATAAGCCGAAGGTCTTGCCAGAGGAACAGATGGCCTTCTCAAAGGCGTTCCCATAGAAGAGCTGATGGTCTTCTCATAGAAGGCCTAGAAGGTCTTCTCCTAGAAGGCCAGAAGGTCTTCTCATAAAAGGCAAGAAGTTCTCATAGAAGGCTAGAAGGTCTTCTCATAGAAGGCCAGAAGGTCTTCTAAAAGGAGGCCTTAAGGTCTTCTAACAGGAAGTCATAAGATCTTCTAATAGAAGGCTAGAAGGTCTTCTCATAAAGGGCCAGAAGGTCTTCTCGTAGAAGAACTGAAGGTCTTCTCGTAGAAGAGCTGAAGGTCTTCTCGTAGAAGGCCAGAAGGTCTTCTCATAGAAGGCCCAGAAGGTCTTCTCATAGAAGGCCCAGAAGGTCTTCTCATAGAAGGCCCAGAAGGTCTTCTCATAGAAGGCCCAGAAGGTCTTCTCATAGAAGGCCCAGAAGGTCTTCTCATAGAAGGCCCAGAAGGTCTTCTCATAGAAGGCCCAGAAGGTCTTCTCATAGAAGGCCCAGAAGGTCTTCTCATAGAAGGCCCAGAAGGTCTTCTCATAGAAGGCCCAGAAGGTCTTCTCATAGAAGGCCCAGAAGGTCTTCTCATAGAAGGCCCAGAAGGTCTTCTCATAGAAGAGCTAAAGGTCTTCTCATAGAAGAGCTGAAGGTCTTCTCATAGAAGAGCTGAAGGTCTTCTAATAGAAGGCCCAGAAGGTCTTCTAATAGAAGGCCCAGAAGGTCTTCTAATAGAAGGCCCAGAAGGTCTTCTCATAGAAGGCCCAGAAGGTCTTCTAATAGAAGGCCCAGAAGGTCTTCTAATGGAAGGCCCAGAAGGTCTTCTAATAGAAGGCCCAGAAGGTCTTCTAATAGAAGGCCCAGAAGGTCTTCTACTAGAAGGCCCAGAAGGTCTTCTAATAGAAGGCCCAGAAGGTCTTCTACTAGAAGGCCCAGAAGGTCTTCTCATAGAAAGCCAGAAGGTCTTCTCATAGAAGGCCAGAAGGTATTCTCATAGCAGGCCAGAAGGTCTCCTCATATAAGACCAGAAGGGCTTTTCATAGAAGAGACCACAAGGTCATCTCATAGAAGAGACCACAAGGTCTTCTCATAGAAGAGACCTCATTTTCATAGAAGGCCCGAAGGTATTCTCATAGAAGGCCAGAAGTTCACCTCACAGAAAGCCAGAAGATTTTCTCTAAGAAAGCCAGAAGTTCTTCCTGTAGAAGGTCCTTTCATAGAAGACCACAATGTGTTCTCAAGGGGCCTTTTGTTCATACCCTATACCCATAAGGATTAATAGGAATTAAAAATTTACAAAAAAAAATAATATTTGTTTTACAATTTGGTACGCCTAAAAGCATGCTTCATATTTTTACGCTAGGATTGTATTTGCTTTTCATGATTATTCGGCATGCGTATAAAACATTACATATAATTACCTTCTAATGGAAGACCCTTTTGCCTATTTCATACATAAAAAATAAAAAGGATGTTTCCGTGGAAGAACATTAAACAATTAAAACCCTACTTTTATTCCCGAAATTGTCTTCCCATAGAAGATCAACAAATACTTCTGTTAGAGGAACAAAATGACTTAATAAAAACTATTTTTTATTATTTTTTTTTTAATTTTTTAATGGATCCCTAAATGGCTCAATTTGCATAAAATTATTCATTTTTGTATAATTAATAATGTATTTAATTTTTTTGCAGACGTCTTATCGGCAATCCCATCAAATATCTAAGTGCTGAGACATTTGTACAAAATAATTACCTGGACGCCTTGTAAGATTTTGTTTCTTATATTCGACGCAGAAGAAAAAAAATAATTAATATTCAATATTCTCTTTCAGATCCCTGGCCTATACACCGCTAAAAGTCGACGAATCCTTTCTTCAAACCCTAAATGTATCCTACCTCAACTTGAATGGCATCAAATTTGAAATGATCGAATTCGAGTCAATACAAAATATGTTGAATTTAAAATACATTGTCTATGATCGTTTCTATTTTTGTTCAATGACACCGAATGTTAAACGCTGTAAACCCAACACGGATGGTGTATCCTCGTTTAAGGATTTGCTGAGTAAACCGGTATTGCGGTATTCCGCATGGATTATGGCAATAATTACAATAACTGGTAACATTATGGTGCTGTGGGGACGTTTTATCTATCGTGATGAGAACAAGGCAGTCACCATGGTGATACGAAATTTGGCCTTGGCTGATATTCTTATGGGATTTTATTTGCTCATAATTGGTATGCAGGATCATCGGTATCGTAATATTTATCATAGGTAAGGTGAGGTTAGGTTTTAGGAATATATTATAATGATTTTTTTGCGTTTGCAGAGTTGCCTTAGACTGGATAACATCATGGCACTGTGCTGCAGTGGGTGTCTTGGCCGTTAGCTCCTCCGAAGTTTCCATGTTGATATTGGCGTTTATGTCATTGGAACGTTTCCTCCTGATTGCCGACCCGTTTCGTGGCCACCATCATATTAGTGTGAAAAATATTTTCTTTGCCTTGCTGAGCATTTGGGTAATGGGTGTGGGTATTGCTGTGGCTCCCGTCATCCTCTGGCAATCGAGTACGAAATTCTATGGCACCTATTCCGGCACCTGTTTCCCATTGCACATCCAAGAGCCATATCCGTTGGGTTGGCAATATTCGGCGTTTATGTTTTTGGGAGTAAATCTTTTTCTCCTGGTTATGATAGCCTTACTGTATACGGCATTATTGTTTTCAATATGGCGTACCCGCAAGGCAACACCATTATCATTGTTAGACTGTGAATTTGCTGTCAGATTCTTTTTTATTGTCTTGACGGATGCCCTGTGCTGGGCTCCCATTATCGTGGTGAAAATATGGGTTTTCTTTAATTATAATATATCAGGTAAGGTTGAAGTTATATACATATATGGTCCATTCCAGAGCTGCACGAATGTAAAACTTTTTACTATAATAACAGATTTTCCCTTTATGATATCGAAAATGATGAAACTTGTAGATTCTTGCCGGTTCTGGAACGGAGCAATAGAAATGGAGAGTTTCATTTGTTTTTATTTTTATTTAATTTTGTAGATGACATCTATGCCTGGCTGGTGGTTTTCATTTTACCCCTAAACTCGGCCGTAAATCCACTTTTGTATACGTTTACCACACCGAAATATCGCAATCAGGTCTTAATGCGTGGTTGGAAGAAAATAACAGCACGTCGACGTCATAATCAGGATCCATCAAATGGTTTGGCTACCACAATTGCCACGGGAACGGGGTCATCACAGCAACAGGGTAAGTGATGATGATGGTAATTAAATTCATTCAAAATGGGGGTATTCCACTAATTATGAATACAAAGTTGGAACTTCCTAAAGCAGTAGATTCGAAGTGCTTAATTTTCGATGAAAAATAATGAATATATTCAGAGAATGTCTTTTTTTTTTTTTTTTTTTTTTTTGGTTTTAGAAAGTTGAAACTTGGCCAATTTCCAGATAACGCCACAACAAGCAATCGGGAGGGTTCCGCTAGGTCGTTAATGTTTAGAGCAGGTGTTTACAGGTTAAATTTGATCTTGTGCAAAAATTCAGCAATGGCAGGAAGATTTTTAATCCCATGTTTGTTGATGAAATCTACAGTGGATCTTGAGCTCCGCATATAGTGATTAGAATTTCTTTCCGACGAAAAGCGATGGCACTGAAATAGGATATGATCGACATTTTCCTCAGTGCAACAAGTTTCACAGAGGGCAGAAGGAACTGCTTTCATTCTTTCCAAGGTGGCATTGCAAAAGGCGTGGTTTGTGACAACTCTGTTGAGTGTTTTTGTATCCAAAGGGGTAGATGTGGTATTGTGGAACCATGGTCGTTTGGTGACTTCAGGGAAGATTGTGAAGTAATGGGAGGAGCCGGACAATCCTCTTTCTTTATACTCATTTGCCCATTCTATCCACAGGTCGTGAGTTATATGGTTAATTGCGTCAGAGATAGTCAAGGGTGTCTCAATCTGCGAGCCAATCTCTCTCGCCATTCTTGCGGCTTGATCAACTGTTTCATTAAGTGGGATACTACAGTGCCCCGGGATATGATGCAATTCAATCTCCTCAAAGTGTTCCGAAGCTAGCCAATTAATTCTGTCAACAAGATAATTTCCCCTCTGATTGTTTTTTATTGCTAAAAGACCACTAAGACAGTCACAAAGAATGGCTAATTTTCGAATTTGATTGTTAGCTGCATATTCAAGTGCTTTGACTATTGCTATAAGTTCGGCCGACATTGAGGACAATGCCAGGTCCCCGAAATACGAGAACACAATACCAGGGCCTTCATGAATAAAGGCCGAGCCAGAGAAGTCGGAAAAAACGGAACCATCTGTGAAGAAAATTTCAAGACCTTTGTTTTTTAACTGATTTATTTTTTCATTATATAATTGCCCAATTATCAAAGAATCCGCGTCAGCCTTCTTTGTAACTATTCCCTTGAAAAACACGTCATCAACCACTATAATCTGGGTACCTGTTCCTAATGGGGAAGTTTTCCCGACTTTTTGGAGAATATCTTTGAATTTTGTGTGTACTCTATAAATGCCAGTGTTAATAGGGTGGGACAGATTCCCGAGGGTATTTACAATAGGTCGCTTATATGCATAGGATTTCACCAATTCTTTTGCTGCCGTGAGACAAAATCTATAATTTGGAGGTAGCTCTGCCGACAAGTGGTAGAGACATGGGACCGGCGTTGATCTTATTAAGCCAAGAGATTTTCTCAAACAGTTGTTGATCGAGGTCTTAATTTTATTAACGGAACCTTTGTCAGCATTGGCAAGGGCCGCAGATGCATATTCTAACTTGGACCTAACACATGCCCTGTAAAGGCGCAGGGATTTACGTGGATCTATGCCCCTGTTACAACCACCTAAGATATTTAAACACCTGTTTTTCTTTTCTACCTCTGAAAGGACATTTTGAACATGTTCCTTTGCGGAGTTATTGGATGCCACAAAGTAGCCTAAGTACTTAATTTTGTTTACCTGCTCAATACCAACTCCGTTCTGAATAAGATTCAGGTTTCGAACTCTCCTATTAAAATGGACTGCAGACGTTTTACTAATATTAAAGCGAAGGTTAATCTCCCCGCACCGAGCAGCGAATTCATCAATCTTCGAATCCAAAATGCATCTGGCGGATTCAAAGTCCCTATGGTAAACCAACAGAAAGAAATCATCTGCGTATTGGAATAAAATGCAATTATCAGACTGAATAGCATGTAATGAAATTGTGTATGCATTAAAAAGAATTGGGCTTAACGCACTTCCCTGAGCTAGACCACCGCTGACGGAGACGACGCGAGAACCAAGGACGAGATTCCTCCTGTGGAGGAAATCTACAATCCACGAGGTAATCGCGCCATTCACCCCCAGGTCATCCAGTTTTGATTTCAATATATCCGCCCTCACACAGTCATAGGCCTTTTCAACATCGACACAGAAACCTAACACTTGGAAACCCCTCGATTTTAACGCATAGACCGTATTGATTAGGTCGTTAATACACATGGATGTAGAGTGGCCCGGTCTAAACGCATATGACCGGGCAGGGAACACGTGATTTGCTTCGAGAAAACTTTGAGTTGATTCCTTCAACATTGATTCAAGGCATTTAAGAGGCACCGAAAGAAGTGAGATTGGCCTGTAATTTTCTAACTTGGTGGGGTCCTTTCCCTGTTTTGGGATTGGCGAGATTTTAATATTCCTCCAGTCATCTGGAATTTTGCCACTTGACCAAACACTACACAGGATATCGAAGAAAGCCACTAGCGCCGAGTGAGACAGACTTCTTAAATGCTCATAGGATATTTGATCCAACCCTGGGGCTGAGTTGGAGCTTCTCGACTGTAAAAAACGTTGAAAGGTCTCAAAAGAGAGAAATGATGGAGAAAGGCGACCTAAAGTCGGAATCCCAGGATCCCCCGCCAGGTCCACAGTAGAATCCACATCCGGGGCCAAAACAGGTTCCTCAGGAGCATCATCATCGGAGTTGGCAATAGAATTCTCCAGGGACACAACCCTGGAGACCTCCACTGGCGCCCCGTGAGACTCCCCCGCGTCAATCCTGAATCCGCCCAAGACATCGATTCCCCCAGGCCCATCGGAAGACATAGAAGCTATACTAAGCTCATCCGTATCAGGTTGGTGTACAGCGGATGTATCCGAGGTGGAGGCAGAAGCCAATAAATTAAGAAATTGTCCTTTTTGATCTTCATCCCATGTGTGATTAATACTTTTAGGCTGCTTGTACTTGCGTACATTTCTAATCGTTCTCCAGAAATGTTTGGTGGAAGTACTACTGGAGAGTTCATTAACCACCGATTCAAAGTTCTCAATTTTACAATCTTGTACCTTTTTACGAAGAGTATCTTCTGCCTCTGTAAAAGCCCTTAAGTCTTGTAGGGTCCTGCTTTTAAAATATTTAGCCTTTGCAGCCTGTCTTAATCTAAACAGCTTTTCTATTTCTTTATTCCACCACATTTTCGGGACATATTTATTCTGTGCATCTATTGTAATTGTGTTTTTTTTAACAATCTCACGAACCTTGTTATTGAAATTTTCAATGGAGCCACCTACATCTAATTTAGCCATCTCCTCTAAAACTGCCCTTTTCTTCACTCTTTTGGTTGCCCTTGGTGGGATAGGGTTATTACCGAATTCCACAATTACGGGCAAATGATTGCTATTAGTAAGTTTATTCGAATTAACTGACCAAGTAGGTGTTAAATTGAGATTTTTTGCAAACGTTAAGTCCAAGACAGAAGCATGTCTATCCTGGAGACGGAAAGTAGGTTCACCATTATTAAGACAATAAAAACCACAAGATGACGCTATATCATCCAATATAGCTCCTTGGGCGTTCGTGATCGTATCACCCCATTCTACAGATCTGGCATTAAAATCACCCCCAACTACTATCGGCAAAGCAAAACGTCCAAGATGTGTGAAAAGACTATTAACCATTAATTCAAAGGTACCCCTCTGCGTATTCGGAGGAATGTATACAACGCTAAAAATGAAATTATTTCTCAAATTCAAGGTTTTTACGCCTAAAACTTCCATCTCAACACCAATGTCGATGTCGATAAGTGAGAAAGAGATATCTCTTCTCAAATATATACCTACACCTCCATAGCTGTCTTGACGGTTTTTAAAAGCAAAATTAAAATTAGTTAAGTTAGAAGTCGAGTTATCTTTCAACCAAGTCTCAGTTATCAATGCGATATCAATTTTATTTTTTTCCATAAAAAGCTCCAGCAGACATTTATTATTATTATTATTCAAACTCTGTATATTAAATTGTAAAACTCGCATAATATATTAATTTTGATTATTATTATTATTTTGTCCTTTCAGACTCTTATTCATTAATCCTAAATCCATTTGCGCTTGACTGCTGTTAATTGCATCTTTAATTTTGTTAAAAAGGTTCATTGATTCCTTATTGACTACATTTGGAGTGATTAAAGCTTTATTCAGAAGATCAGTAATGATGCTAAGAACTTTTTCAAATTCCGTAGTTTTTTGATTTTCTAAGGCACTAAGTAATGAGCCATTTGGCAAGGAGTATGAAGCACCTTGGTCAAGAGCTTCACGGTGTTGCTGTTGTGTTCTTTTAGCATTTTCTTCTTCCCGTATTCTATTTGCATTGTTTTTAGCGACTCGCGAATAAGATTGAATTCTGTGGAAGTAACTTGAGGATTCTTGTGTGTTGTTGGGGGTAGGTCTATGACCCATACCCGAAGAGTTATTTCTAGGTTGTGGAAGAGATGGGAATTCTCCATTCGATTCCTCATCTAAGAGGTAGAAACTATTTCTAAAAATCGGTGGGTATTTAGTTTTTGCTTCGTTATATGAGAGATTTTCGATGGTCATAACTCTTTTAATATTAAAAGCTTTAGTCCTAGCTGGACAATTTTTGTCAGTTGATTTGTGGTTATCCTTACAATTCGAGCACTTGACTGGTGCTGGAGCACAAGGTACTCCAATATCATGGATGGTGAAGCATGTTGAACAGGTTTTTTGTTGCTGTTTGCAATGTTTAGAAAAGTGATTATATCGATAACATCTATAACATTGCGCAAAGGGTATAAAATGACGCACTTTCATAAAGGCACAGCCATATATTTCAATATTGTCAGGTATAGTAAGACCTTTAAACAGTATTTTAACACGTTTGGTGTTAATCAAATCATCCCCCTCCTTTCTCTGGACTCTTTGAATTTTCAATATGGGTATTTCACTTTGGA